AGCTCCACAGACATCGGATAAGATTTGTTGCTGTGCATTTGTGTAGTGTGAAGGAAAGAGGAGACCAGCTGCACAGGCAGGCTGGGAAATGAGATGCAGGTGATCGATTTGTGTGATCGGCAACAAGAGACCGTGATCTGCGATCACCGATCATACACTTTTTCACGGAAATCGGCTGATTATGATAGGTGGGCGATTGATCGGCACACCTCTAATCTTTACATTTTCTGTCAATTTAACATCTCCTAATATAAAAACACGGTGGACAGCCACGGTGCCCTGACCACCCGGCTTAGAAAGTTTTCTGGTGGAAACCCTGCAACTCTGCATTTATGAGAGGTTTGAGTGAAGAAGGGCCAGTCAGGAAAGGCTCTGATCACGCTAACACGTGGCTTTCCTTTATCCAAGAAGAGACCATCCTTAGCAGACAAACCTGGTCACTGACTTGGCAAGAGGAACTTACCGTTTTTGGCCATCTCTGCTATGATGTTGGCGACCTTCGGGGTGCAGGAAGACTGAGGGTTGAGCAGGGTGGGGAGCAGGGATAGGATGCCCATCTCCTGCATCTTTCTGCTGGCCTCCGTGTCTGCAGGAGGAAATCACAGAGAACTCAGTTCTGAAGACATGAAGCTAACACATCGTGATGATACTGTGAACAAACTTAAGTGTTTTTTTTTTTTTTTTTTTTTACTTTTAAATGTAAAACTAAATGTAAATATTACACATATGTTTTTAAAGAGTTGTCTAGGCCTGTTACAATAACAAATTTTGCTGGACGATTGTCTCAAAAATTATTGCGATAAACAAAAATATTGTTTGAAGACCATCTTAAACTGATGTAATGGTAATGACTAGAGGTGTGCCGATCGGCCACTGATCATAATCGGCCGATTTCCATGAAAAAGTGTATTATTGGTGATCGCCGATCACTGTCTCTTGTTGCCGATCACCTGCATCTCAATTCGCAGCCTGCCTGAACAGCTCTTCTCCCCTTTCCTTCACACTGCGCAAGGATGCAGCAACAAATCCTAAGCGATATGGTGAGGAACTATAAAGCTCTGAGAGTGAATGGGGAAGTTTGGGTGTACCGTCGAAGAAATACCTCGGAGGTGAAGCACGTCAAAATGCATCAACACAACCAATTTAATATGACGTTTAAAAAAAAAAACACTTGAGGGAGTTTGGCTACATCGACGCTCACTGCAGGAAAAAAAAGGGACATCCGGAGCGATCAGATAGCAGGTAAAGCAGACTCACAGCTACCATTACTCACCCAGAAGAGCATAATGGTCAGAAACCTAAACAAATAACCCGAAAAATAATTAATGTCAACAAGCTAGCTGTGTAAGATGCTGGTTCTGCTCCCGCTGTTGGACCGTCACTGCGCGCTACAGGTGGTAATATTTCACAGACGAAGCTTCACTTCTGCTCCACCCACAGTGAACACCGAACGTCTGCTTAAAGCTGCAGCTTGTCATTAAATAAACAAACAAAAAAAGATTTTACATATGTATTAAAACTTTCACTATGTAATAACATGAGCTAGATAATCTCTGCAAAAAATAAAAATAAAATAAATTGGTATCCTTTGCTTCCTCCCTGTGTTCTGCAGAATTACTCCGCTGAGTCAGAGCCAGCATAAATCAGCTAGGCATACTGTCAGGAAGTTTTGATTTAGTAACTCAGGATTGTTTATTTTGAGGCAACCTGCATTGGACTCTGAAAGAATATTTCTTTTTTATTTATAGGCAGTGTTGTGAGATTTATTTGACTCGTATGGTACAGAGAACCTTACTGTTGAATATTGTTTTACTGACTGTAGGTTTTTCAGTTGTCATTTTGACTGAATAGCTGCTGCATTGTGCCTCCAAATATTTTGCAGGTTTGTCTAAATTAGGTGAATTTATTGCCAGATCATTTTTCCATTTTGTCAAATTATATAGCAGCATTTATACCTAAAACGAAAAATTAACAGCCAATCCAGGTGATTGGCAGTGATCGGTGATGGGCAAAGATCGGCCTCAATGGTGGTCAGTATCGGAATCAGCAGCAAAAAACCTGATCAGAGCATCCCTAGTAATGACATAATAATGCATGCGACATCCTGCCAAAAATAGATACACTTTATTTTCAAGAAGCACTCAACACTGGAACTGGTAAACAAAATAGGGCTGAAACAATTCCTTGAGTGATTTGAGTACCTCGATTATTAAAATTCCTCATAGAAAATTTATCTGCCTCAAAGCATCGTTCAGTTATATTTTATTATTTAGCGCACCATGTTCCGGCCGGGTTATTACTTGCACTGCTCTCACTGATCTCACTTCCGCCTGAGTTGTTGACGAAAGCTAAGTGTTAGCAGCATAACGTCCAGTTTTCAAGTTTGGCCTGGGAGGATTTTATTGATTGATGATAATGTCCGGGTCTTTGTCGTTTTTCGGGGAACCAATCAGCATCCTTAAAATGACTGGCGCGATGCCTGGAGTACAGTAGGCTTTTCTCCTCCCGGAGCTGCTGCCTGGTGGCCGGTTCAGAGCGAACGGCGGGGAAGAGCGCTGAAGGTGTATTTATACAGGTGAGCGGATAGACTGAACACAATGGGCCGCTGCGCATTAGATAATTAACAAAGTGTAGCTTTACGGATGAACCGGAAAATTTATTTCACATCATCTTGGTCTCAACAAATGGGTGGCGAAGCACACCATGACGACATGTAGCTGGTAGATCTGTTTCTGTGTGTGACGAACGAAGGTGTCAAATCCCGTCGTTAACAAACACAAAAGCTATAAATGTTTGGGCCAGGTGAGGGTTCATCTATTAAATTGACTGAAGATGAATGCATAAGCGAAAAGCTGGAGTATAGACATTTTTTATAAGCGTATTTGTGAGCCTGCCTCTTTATTATTGAATTGAATATAATTTCAGATTTTTGTATAACTTTTCTTCAGGTTAACTTAGAAAGTGAGCTAGATTGTTACAAGTTCATTTTCTAAACTACAGAAAAGTTGTTAGGGAAGCTCAACTGTGAAAAATAGGACTGATGTTGATATGTGATAGTAATACTGCTGTTATGTTAGATTTAACAATGCTTTATTTGATCTTTTTTTTAATCCAATTACTCGATTAATCGTAAGAATATTCGATAGATTACTCAATTACTAAAATATTTGTTTACAACAGCCCTAAAACAAAATAAACAAAACAACTAAAAACAAAAATAAAATGGACATCAGTCTCCATTAACAAAAAATGCACTTGAATAAAAACTAAATAAAACATAAAACCAAAGTGGAATAAAAACTACAGTCAACCAAAAGAGTCTCTATTATGAAGTCTGTATATACGATATTGCCCTTCAATCATTAGATTTAGATAAAGATGGGCATATCCGATGACCTGATGCAATAGTTCACTCCTCCCGCCCAGTTCACACTACATAATATTTTGCCCCGATGTTCCCTTACGACAACCTTAGAATGTACCTCTTTCTAAGATTGTCGCTTGCGATAATCGTAACCGACCATCCTGTGGTGTGTTACGACTGATTTGGTCCAGTCAGTAGAACCTCCTGACTGCTCTGATCTAAATCAGGCATATTCAACATGTTGGATTGTTTTGGCCAGTTTATCTCAGTGTGTGGGGTTTTCCCCGACTGGGAGCAGGTGAATGTGACAGATAGCCAATCAGAAAGCACGGATTCCCCTTGTGCTTTCTGAGGGGAGAGCACGGAGGGGAATCCCAAACAGCTGACATGGCACAACCCAAAGTCCGGTGGACATTGCAAATGATATGTGGAAACAACATTAATGTTTATTCAACATTTTGTGGAAAGAATATCTGCAGAAATGACGAGGAGAGTGGGAGCGAAATTGCTACCGCAATTGATATACCTGGTAACCTTTCAGTTGTTCATTGCTAACATGACTTAAATAGGTTAGAATGATAAGGCTATTCATTCAGCCGTGTTTGTTTACTCTAAATTCACATAAAATGTAGTGGGTTTTTATGGGATTTTCTGTCTGAAATCTGAATGTCGGTGAGAGAAATCGGATTGTGTGTGCGGTGTTGCTCTTGCCGTGTGGCTGGACACCACACATGACTGAACCAGTTACATTTACAATTTTTTTTTTCAGCTAGTGTGTCTCTCAGGTTTTGAAAATGGGCAGACGATCGGCTGACAATTCCAAAATTGTGTAGTATGAACTGAGCATTACACAAAGGAAATAAAGAAGGGAGGGGTCAGTGGAGAGCACCGAAGGTGAGCCTTTTTTCATTCAGTGTCATCAATAGAATGAGAAAAAGGCAGGAAGAAACGATAAAGACGATAAATTAAAATGAGGTAGATAATTTTATTTATTGTGCGATTAATTGATTAATTGATTTATTGTTTATCGCGACAGGCTAAGTTATGACAGTCAGGCAAATAGACTTCCAAGTATATTTGGAATCTATAAATGTCAGAATTTACAGACTCAAATTTCCAGAACCCTAAGTCCTTTCATAGATAATTCCAAACACAATCTGTACATTTAACTGCAAATTTATGGCACATATTTCTACAATGTTCTGGCTTTAAATTTTGAATCTGATCTAACAGATTCAAAATCTGGTAGGAACAGATGGAACAGATGGATGAATGATGATGTATGAATAACCATTGTCATGGTTATTTGGACACGTGGTGGCAGCCTTCCAGGTATTTATACTAATTTACTGATGTATTTATGGGTGCTTGTGGAGCCACACCCCTGGAGCTACATGCGTGCACCTGGTTTTATACATCTGAATTTTTTTGCGCACTTTTCCAAATTTGTCCAATGCCAAATTTTTGTGTGAAAGCTGCTCACTCTATTATATGCGAGGCTTTGGTGGTCGGGTCTGTCAGACTAAATATGATTTAGGTCATCTCCATGTGTGAAATAGTGTGGAGAATTTTTTGGAATTTATCTGTGTGTAAAATTCCCTTCCATTTCTCTGTTTTCTATTCTCCTTGTCCATCCTTCTTGTCTTTCCATCTGGTTATGGTTCTTGGGATAATTATATGTCAACATAACTCATAAGTCATGATGACTAACTTATGAGTTCATATAAGTAGCTCTAATAAAATAATAATAATAATTGTATAAATGAGAGTGTTCATTAATCCAAGTGGAAACTTGGATTAACAGCTGAGCGTTCTGCTGGGATTTAAGAACAGACAGTGTGCCAGAGAGTCTTTTGGAGTGAGTGGGGAATATTCTAAGTCAGCGTTTCTCAACGGGGGCGGTACCGGCACCCGAAGGGCGTTCAGAGGATGGTAGGGGGCGCTGGCGGAAATTTTTACAAAAGGGAGGCGCTGGGATTCCTTTGGGGGATGTTTGCTTGAAGGTAAACATTACACCTTAAATGCACAACAATACCAGTTTAGACTTTGAGCAACTTGCTGAAACTGTATTGTGTAACATTAAGTTGGCTGCAACTGTATGGATGGCATAACAGCTCTTCTTCTCTTCAGTGTTTGTAGCTTCTTGGCGCAGCTTCGCGGTGCAGCTACTGGTAGCTTCACCACATCACTTCAGCGTTACACCGGATGATGACGTTGCTGTGATTCACGTGTCTGGTGTCTGATTTTAAAATAT